TCCATAACCACATATCAAGCTATAAGTAAAACAATTATTTAAACATATATGTTATATACTATCTACTCACCGTACAATCAAAGGGTCGAATAGAATCAAAGTTGTTGAGATGGAGTCACCCACTTTGAAGAATCTAATAATACTAAATGGTAGAATAATTATCAATATCACATATTGAATAATAATTCAAAACAAATGAATTATTCTATTTTCTACTTTTTATTTTTATCATGTAGGCCTAATTTGTTTCACTCTTTGTCATGTGTCTCTTTCTAAAATCACCTTTTCTTGCCGCATCTCTCCTTCTATTTATAGGGGGAGATTTTTCATTTTCCTCAAAGGAAAAGGAGGGGCAGCAATTAGTCCTAATAAAAACTCTTGATTGTTGCTTCCTAATCCTCTAAGGATTAGGAGTTATTATGCATGTTGGCCATTTTAAACTTATCCTAATAAATTTAATCCTTATCCAATAAAGTTTATATTTATCCTCCTACCAAAATATCTTGTAAGCTTTTAAATTAAACCTATTACCCTAAACTTCTTTGGTCTAATTAATTACTAATTAATTTGGACTATCTAAATAAATTAGATCAGATATTTTAGGAGGCTCACATTAGGAAATAATTTTTTAAATTACCCTTAAACCTAAATTAGAAAACTAATTATCCTTTTAGGTTATTTTCAAATTTGAAACTCGACTTCCAAATTAGAAAACTAATTTCTAAAATAATAAAATTTTCATTTTAGGAACTTTTCACTTTCAAAGACCTATTCTAAAATAGAAAACTTTCAAAATTAGAAAATTTTTCTAACATTTTTGCTTCTCTTTTATTATGTGAATGCTTAAACTTATACACGTGACTCAATAAGCTCCTAGATATGTTGGCAAGGTATCAAGAATAAAAGATAACTCTTTTATCTCTTGATACATAAATCAAGATTAGTCTCTAGCAAGACATCACGACTACCTAATTATCTAGGAGGATTAATTAATTTTTAATTATCTTTCACGAGCATGGTTACCATACAATTCAATCCTCATGTCAACTTACCATAGTGTGATCTCGAACTTAGTTGTTAGTCTTGTTCGATTATGATCACATAAGTTTTCTTCAATTCTCAAATCTCTTAGCTCATAGAGTAAACCAACTATGCTCTATTAGTGTATGCCTATTACGAACATAGATTTCTTATGTAGACATTCATCGAAGAGTAATGTGATAACTCCTTTAGCATATAAGGAATGACATGTCCTATCTTAGTCATCCACCTACCTCTATTAGATTCCCGGTGCACCCAACAAATTACTCACGTGTAACTCTTTACTAAGTTCATTGAAACGAGTATCAAAATACATAAATCCTTTAATAAGATAATCATAATGACTTCAAATATAAGGACTAATTGTACTCATCTCGTATGAGATTCTCATAGACTAAGCCAAATGGGTTCTCATGGCGAGTCAAGTCTAGTGACATGTTCTCTAACATAAATCACTTAAGTGCTTGCTTTGGCATGATCATGCCAATAGGTATGAGATCTACTACTACTATCATATAGCATGAGCATAACACTCACAAATCTAACCATATGTAGTCAATGACCATTCTATATAATGCTACGACTTGGGATATTTAATGATATCATTTATTTGTATTAGTGTTTATCTCACATTGTTTTACCAATTACTAATGTAAATGCATATCATATAGACTTCTATCTAATTCTATTCAATAAATAAATATAAAAAATAAAAATTAATAGAAAGACTTCTTTTGTTATTAATAAAATAAATAATACAATAATACAATAATTCAAACCTATCCAAACATAGTTGGATCTCGAGCACCTACATTAACAATCTCTCACATGTACTAGAGCCAACCAAGTCAGTTCATTAATCTCGATGATCGAGTAAGAGTCTTATGTTTCAATTATGATAAAAGCTTGGTCAAAAGGTCGGCTATTTTGTCGTTGGTGTGGACCTTTTCTATCCTTATGTCATAATTTTATATTAAATTATTTTGTTATTAATAAAATAAATAATGCAATAATGTAATTTTTTTTGTTGAATTGAGAGTAAAAATTATATAAAAAAACAATTTTTATTTTTTTATAGTTTTCCATATGCAATTTTATATTAAATTTTTATTCATTTATTCCTTAAGCAATTTTTGTTAAATTTTATACAAGTTTTTAATTTTTAATATTTTTATATTTTTCCATATGTAATTTTATATTAAATTTTTATTCATTTATTCCTCAAGCAATTTTTGTTAAATTTTATACAAGTTTTTATATTAATTTTTTTATTTCTTTGATGCAATCTTATGAAAAAAAATTATAAAGACATTTTTTTTAAAAATTTATATTAAATTTATATTTAGATTATTATAGGTTTTTATTTAAGAATAAATGCATTAGGGAGAATAGATCATGTTTTTTTTTACTACAAAATTTATGAAAAGCACAAACAAGAATAAATTAAATACAAAATTTTGATTAAAAATTATAAAATTAAATAAAATGTTTTCTTATAGCTTTAATTTTATATATATTTTAGTTGACCAACAATTTAGTACAAATTATCAAACTTAAATAAATTTATTTTTTTTGGCCCACAATGTAATGCTGGAAGCTAACTAGTTTTGACTAAGGATCCATTTGTTTGGCAACAAACAACTCTTAATAGGAAAAACAATTCTGGAGAAGCTATTTTTCAAGAATTTTTTTTTCAAAAAATTATTTTCTAACATTTGACAATTACATAAAAAAACTACCGAGAAATATATTTCAAATTCCGTTTGATATAAAAAACTCGAAATACAAAAACAAGTTGTGATTGTTACAATAACGAATTTTGAAGAAACTTTAATCAAGCATATTCACAATCTCACAATATAAGATCCATTTAGAAAAAATTTAATAAATTTTTCTAAATACCGACTCTAAGATTTAAATTCAAAAATCAAAAAATAATATATATATTTTTAAACATCAAATCAATTCATCAAAACTACTTGGGACAAAATCAAGTCAATATTGATATTTAGTATTAAAAAAATTCTAAGTAATCCTAGCATTATTATTTTGGTAACTCAATTAAGAACTCTTTTTTTAAAAAAAAAAAATTGACTCGATAATTTAGTCTAAAAAATAGTTTTACAAATTATTAGTTATCATTTGTAGATAATTATTCATTTGGTTTCGAAAGATTAATGTTGGAATAATTTGTAATTATTATTGACTACAATTACCAATAAAATTTTACAACCGATTAAAAGTGTCACAAATTATTGATTTAGTTGCAAATGAATAGTGTTGAAAAAATAATGTATTTATTAATGAATTAATTAGTTTCAAATTTTTTACAAATGATTAAAATTTTGTAATAATCATTCCCGATTATTTAAGTATAGTTTAGATGATCTTTTGGATAATGGTAAATAAAAATAAAGATAAATTATTGAAATATTTATTATAAAAATAATTTCAAGGCGTAAAAATGGTTTTTAAGAATATTTAATGTATTTATACATCAAAAAATCAAATGTTAGTAGAAACAGAGAAAAATTAATTAAATAATTAATAATAATTGATAAGAAATAATTAAAAATTAATTTGATATATTTTAAATAAAAAGGAGATGAAGGAAAAAAATTATTAAAATATATCCAGAGAGAGGTGAGTAACACGAGAGCGAGACGAGTTCGCGAGAGAGAAAATGTTTTTTTTTAACTGGAAAAACACTCTTTTAAAAATAATCTATAAATTTTCGTTGACTGGAAATCAAATTTCGTTAACTTTTTACTTAAACATGAAATAAATATTGGAAAATGAAGAAAAATAGAGAAAACAAGTTACTAAAACTTATTTTTTCTAAAACAAATACAGACTAAAAGAATAGATTATAAATTAGTTTTAAATGTAAAAACATATTGAAATTTTTTTTTATTGAGGAAAAATTAAAAAAATTAGTTTATTATATAATAACAAGTTAGATTATTAACCTGATTATCGGTTTAGTAACGGACCTCTAGAATTCCAAGATTTGATTTTGTTTCCTCATTCATCTACTTCGTAGACGAACTAGGGAGAAAAGGTGCATATAGTATTTATTAATATGAAGAATAGATGGATAATCTTTACCATCGTGTTTCCATTCTCTTTAAACCCTAGATAGCTATTCTCGTTTTTTCTTATTTGAATTCGCCATTGCTAACACAGTTGTTACTGCTTGATTCCTTTGAAACACCATCTCTTTTCTTTGAATTAATGCCATCGTTATTTCACATCCCTTATACGATCATTTCCTTAACTTGGAACCCAGTTTAATTTTCAGCCAGACCAGATTTCTTGATTAGCTTTTGAACTGCTACCCAATTAAGATTGTTGGTTTCTCATTACGTTTCCTGTAGGGTACAGATTTAATCCCAACGATGATGAACATATATAAGAGTATCTTTTGAAAAAGGCTAATGGAGGGCCACTGCCACCAGATATGCTTTTTGTAGAGTTTGACCTTTTTGGAGACAAAACTTCATGGAAGATCCTTGAGGAGAAAAGGATGATAAACAAGTTGTATGCAAACCAAGTTAAAGAAGGCCACCACGAAAAGATATTCTCGGAATACTCCACATGAGACGTGGCATGGAAATACTGGCAGAACCACTGCTGCTGCTTTGAAAGATAGAGGTACGAAGGAAGTCATTGCCTTGAGAAATCAATTTTCTTTCCAGACTAAGAAAGGAAAAGTTGCTGCATTTTCGAGTACTTGAAAGTTGAGAGAATAAAGGCGGCATTTGGATGATGCGCTGAGTTTCTCTTGCCTGTTCTTCTCTCAGTGGAAAAAAATAAGTTTCCGGAATATGTGCTTTGTGAGGTATTACCAAAACTACACTGACAAAAAGAAAATTCGAAGCATAAAGGGCGGCTGCGTTTGACGTTTTTGACACACAAACATCCAAGGGAATCAGTATCAGTTCTTTGAAACAGACTCTATGCCTATTACCACTCCTGTCGCTGTTCGTGATGATTTTATCTCTTCGAAGTCTGCACCAGCACAACTTCCTTCAACTAACGTTACTGATTCTAAAGATCAATCGAGCAAGATAGAAAAAATGGCAGTGATATATGAATATCTTCGAAGACAGTGATCCTGAAGGCAGAAAGCGCTTTGAACAGATAGTGCATGAATTTTGGTCCAAAAAATTATTTTTGCAACCCGTACCCGATAGATTATCCAATGAGTGATCTGCAACCATGCATGCTAGGGAGTCAAGCGGGTTTGCCCTGTTTCTTACCCGAAGGGTTTTTTTTTATTACTGATTATTCATAGCTAGCAGCGGGTTTAGCACCGGTACACATCTTTCATTTTTTATTTTTTTGGGTATTTAGCACAATAACCATGAGATTAATTAGTTCTATTTTTTTAAGAGTATTTTAGCACAATAACCATGAGATTAAATAAATTTTCTTTGTAAAGATTTTAGAAGCTATCTTCTATAAACATCTAGATATGAATGTTTTATCTTTTGCTTCAGGTTGCGCTAAGAATGAAATTGAATTAAATCCCATGCTCTGTTTGCATAAGCATGCCAATGAAGAAATTCGTGCCCTTGTATCTCTTATCTTTTTAATGTCAAGACATGACTTTTCTAACGTTTTGGATGAATGAGAGCTATGTCTCGAATTTTCTGGCTTTAAATGGATTACACAGAATGGAACAGTGACAGTAACAATTAACGTCTTCTTGTCAAGCTTCTTTAATGTCTGAATAAGTTCAAAAACTTGATCTGGAAGATTGCTTAACCCAAACTGTAACCAGTCACTAAAGCATCTGCTTGAGAAAATAAAGCAAAATAACAAGGAAAAAAACAGAGAGGAAAAGAACAGCCAGAGGATTTTATTATCCAACAAAATTTACTGCCGAGGGAAAAGTACGAATTAAGTACACAACATTACAAGCTGCTTATTGGTCTTATCTTCGTAAACACAAAATAAATAAAGAAATGCAAGGAAAAAAAGGCTAAGTTAGGAGAGCACAATCTCATCACACATACACTACCAAACGCCTGAAGAAACAGCATTCAATAACACCTTGCAGCCAGCTTACTGTATAAAATTGAACTATAATATGAACAGGGCATATACAACTGTTGTACATATATAATTTGGATCAAGGAGTTGAGCTTGCTCCCGATATCTTGCTTGCGGGTGCTTTTTCATGCTTTTCTATGTAAGCAGAAGGAAACCATCCAGCCTGGCCTTTGCATTCTCCTTCAGACCACCCTGTCGGTGCCACCTTGTGATATTATCAACAAGAAGTTAAGAAGAGGGAATTAGAGAAAAAACTTGAAGCGCAAGAACCCCATTCTGAAACATTAATTTGAAAACTCAAAAGGCAGCTTAAAAACACTCTGTCGGAGTCAATACTGAAGACCGAGACAAGGACTATTGAACTAAGGTTGTTCAACAATAAATATATGTGCGTATAAACTTGGTATGTGTGTGAAGGTGTTCAACAAAAGATAAGAACTCACAGATTCATAACGGACAAAACTGCCAACTGCAAGCACCAAACTATGCTCATACAGGCATTGGTGCAAAATCATTTACAGGCAGAGCTCTGTGGTAAAGGAATTTATGATAAAACTATATATGTATGTAGATATGCATGCAGATATATACTATGTATGTATGTATGTTTGATGAGTACGATTAATAATTCAAAATCATTTTCAAGGCAGAGTTCATGTCTTCACATTCAGCACTACACTGCAGTTCCATTGTGCTACCTGAAAGCTGATATCTTGATGAAACATCGTTTTGGAAAAAAGCTCTAATTTTATACAGTCCTTTAAATGTCATTATGGATCTAACTCTAGAAAATTATTTGAATTGCAATTGCCTGTCTCAAGTGGTCTCATATGCTACCTAAAATATCTTTCTTAGTTGGACACATAAAGTTATTCGTGACATTTTTACTTTATGTTCCTGCCACATCGATAAATTTCTAGATCTGAACCAAATTACATCATGTTTGAACTTAAAAAAGAAATAGAATATACTTCAAACTACCATATATGTTTCTTATCAAAAAAGGAAAAAAGAAACTTACAAATATGTTTACACGAGATACTAGGGCATGAACAAATTTTCTAATACAATTTGAGGCATGAATTTTAGCAACTAATTCTATTTACAGATACTTTTTTGAAGGAACTTTTCTTTTTTGCACATATTTTCCCAAAGGCCAAAATAATTCATGAGTGAAACAATTTTAGCCACTATTTCTATTTACAGACATTTTTTAGAAGAGACTTTTCTTTTTTGCAGCTATTTATGCTTTCATTTACAAAGTTTGGGCTTGAATGCCATTATGAGCCTTAGAACAGTTTATAGTTCATCAAAGGCATTATCAGTGGAGGAAAGTACCTGCCGGACCACAACAAAATCATCAACAGATAGACTTAACTCCCCTTCTGCATGAGCATCAAATGGGTGTATAACCTACAAAGAGTTAAGAAATAACATGAAATTAAAAGAACAAATAACAAAAAAAGTAGTGAATCTTAAGAAAACATCACTTCGCACTGATAGAAAATTCCATGACAGTACACATTTGCATACAGCTCCTCATGTAAGTATTGCGGCATACACTTGTAGACAAATAAATCAGTGAGATAAGGAAATGGTTTTGAGGGTAACTCACCTTTGAATAACAGTTTGAAAGACAATTTTGCTCTACATAAAGAAACACTTAATCTTCCACAACAAATTGTTTAACATTTATGCAACAGGTTTAACTAGTTTACTGACGCCCACTTGCATCTTTGCCACTTTCAGGTCTTGTTAGATATTAAATCTTAGGTGTTTACTTCCAATTTTTCAAGCATCCTATTTTTACTATTAATCATGTAAATATAACCTTTTAGAGCCCACAAAGAAAAAGGTTGCCACAATTAGAAAAAAATACTCATTACTTCCTGTGATAAAGTTTGGCATAAATATCTCTTCAAACTCCATGTAACTGGAAACTGTGATATATGCAAGTTTTTTCTCAACAAAAACTATCACTATAGTTACAATTTTACAGAGGAAGATAACAGGTCATCTTGTGCTTATAAAAATAACATGCACTTTTCAAATCACAACTTTATTTTGAAACAAAAACTTCTTCAAAAAAAAAAAAAAAAGCAAATAGATGGTAAACTAAGGTCCAAGTATCGTCTTTTAACTTCCTTTTCATTTGACTACTAGTTCATGACCACTACCATCACTGCTACACCAACACCAACTGACACTGACACTGACACACCTCACTATGCACAATAAAACATCAGTGCCATGGTTTCCACAACCATAGCATAACCACCACCATTACCATTAGCCCATTGCTACTGCCACCACCAATGGTATTGCAGCCAGCATGCCTGTATTCTTCACTCCACCATAACTACCACATTGTCTTTCCTTATTTCTCCTCTTTTGCATTAAATAAATTAACTATTTACCAATATTAAAAACAATTCCTTGTTGGAGCAGTTGACCAAACAAATTAGTTATCAACATAAAATACAACTACTTGTTGGAGTAATGCAGTTGACCACACAAACTATTTCCATGGTATTGGACCCCTGTCATGCACCATGACATGCTATCAAATGAATATTTGGTCACATAATTGGAGGTCCCATAACCTACTCTATCGAAAAATAGTTGAAATTAAAATAATAATTTTAATTCAAGTACAATGCACAGAAGGGTGCTGCATCCACAATGGCAAATGAAATGGCAAAGTAATCTTGGAGACTGCAATTCCAAGGGATAAAAATGTAATGTGATACTTTTAAGAGAAAAACAGGAATCAAACATCAAAAGATGCGCAGGCACATTCTTATATTTCAAGTCATGAGCTGTGCAAGCAGAGATAAGATGGGAGAAAAGATCAGCAAAGAGTGTTCCATTTATCATTCTTCTTTCTGGCGTGGTAGGGTTTGAGAGAAGAGGTGGAATATTCAAAGTTATCAAAAGTCTTACTTTTGCTATGAAAAGTGCATCCTTTTGATTAATGTGCATGTGATTGTCAGACCCATTTGAAGTTTCATTCTGGTGTACAGGTGGGGCAATCATATCTCTCTCTGTGGTTGCCGATTGTGGCGAAGACTCATTTAATTGCTCCTCAAGAATCATCTACATCAATGATAAAAATGTTGAAATTGCATCAGTCATAATCTATCTCAAACATAAAATTAGGATTATAGTAAGGCAATGTTTTGAGCATCTGAAAAAGTAAAGAAAGCTAGCACGGAGTGAAAGAGAAAAATAATTTTCAGAAAACTGTAAGTGCTATATGTAGGCTCAAGCACATCAACATGCCAGGTCCAGAGTTACAAAGAACAAACCTCAGCATGTAGCTTATCCAAAATAGTAAGAATGTGTTGATGATAGCATCTCTCAGCATCTACCTGAAAAATTATTTTGTTTCAGATCAATGTACAGAAAAGGTAAATAACCATTACCTAAACCAAATTTGAACAAGCAGCGTAAATTTTAAATACAATAAACCCCTCTTAACTTTGCAATTGTGAAATTAAGCAAGATATTAATCAGATAAATGAGCAGAGAACTCTATCAAGATTAAATTTTAAAACAGTAAATGGAAGGATAGAGGGCTAGCCACAAAGATAGATATGCAGAAGCAACTGCCAAACTGAATTTGCTGAAAAGGAAGATGGACCACAAGGATAGCTGTGCCCAAACAGGCAAAGAATGGATGAGGCAACATCCATCCCCAAATTGTTCCTATTTCTTTATCCCATTTGACAACTACGGTGTCCCATACCAACATGAGAAAAGTACTGAATCAAAATGAACGTGAACATAAGATAAAATGTTTTTTTGGCTTTAGCAAAGTTGTCAACCACAATAGATCGTGGTCTCAGAAGCAGAAAGATCAACATAAGCAGAGAGTGTCATGCACGCACACACACTGAGACACAAGCAAGAAAGAAGAAAAGCATGCAATACCATACTAAACAACCGCTGAACAGTAATCTGTTGCTGTTGATTTTCAACTTCCGACATGGCAGCAGTTGCTTCTCTCCCAAGTGCCATCATTGTAGATTTAAGCTCAGTCAACCTTGCCTCTGCAGCTCGAAGCTTCATGCAACTCTCAGCAGATATTTCAGAATCCCTGGTTTTCGATCGACGCCTCAATACTTCAGCTGCCTGACAAGAATATACCACCATGAATCTACCACAATTCCCACAAACGTTACACCCATGAGACACCAAAGTTTACCTGGGCTTCAACCTCTTGACGGAGTTTGTCATAACGGTGATTCAAGTGGCGAGCATCCTCCAAAGGAGCTCCTGTTATTATAGCCCGAAGTGGCTTAGAAACCTAAATATTGAAAACCTGTAACACAATTAGGAACATAAAGAGAGATGGCGACACTTTAAATTCCCTGAAATGACAGCTTATGCTAAAAATCCCAAGATATCCATCATTCATTCTCGGCAATATACATGTAGGGCTAAAAAAATATTGATGACACTAAACTTTCTATTAGCACATATAAATGAACACATCATTCATATATCAATTTGTCTATTCTTACAAATTTTTTTCTCATGCTTTCATTCAACACACTTGATGACAATAACAATAGGATGGCCACCTATCCATGCCAAGCAACAAATTTTTGGCAGGAGCTACAATTACTTATAGAATCTGAACTTGGCAGAAAAATTCAAAAGAAGCAATTATCTCCGAATATATACTCAAAGGATCTGCATTTACATAAGCATGAACATATGCACAACCCTCTATGTTATTTATGTATTGCTACATTCATTACCACCATTCAGTTTGGTTTGAAATTATTCCTAGCTAGCAGTAAAATTACCTGCTCATTAAGAACCCCAAGCAACGTTTCATTCTCGTTTACCATCAAATTATGAGAGGCACCAAACTGTAGAACAGCCCTCGCAACATAGTTATTCTCACTCTGATTCTCAGCTCCGTATTTACAACACTCATCAGCCAACTTCCTCACTAAAAAAATCCCAAAGCCAAAAATTTCACATAGCAGCCTCATAAAGAAACAAATTACAACAAACAAAGTAGCCACAGAGAAAAATCCATACTCACATATTTCCATTTGCTTTGAGCTAATAGGTACCAAACCTTCAACACCGCGAACGATATTCTTTTGAAAATGCTGTTATTTTAACATAAAATAGGAGGAAAAAAAATAAAAAATTTGCCTCTATACAAAATGAAAAAAAAAAAAAAAATCAAATGAAGCCTAAAGAAGGAAAAAAAGATTGTAGCCCCTAACTGTACCTTAGCAGCTCTAGTGGAATTGTAGAGATTTTGAAGATGTTGATGGCATTGTAATTCAGCTTCATCAACAATAATTCCTTCATTACTAAAATGTCCCAAATGCTTCAATACTGCCTGCAAAAAAAATAAAAAATAAAAATAAAAAGAAAGAAAAGAAAAGAAAAGAAAGAAATTAACACCACAAGAGAATTTGATAATGAATTACTTGCTGCTGCTTTGCAACTTGCTCTCTAAGCCTGGTAGCTTGCTTTTTTATGGCTTCCATGTAAATGAAAATCTCTCGCTACCATAAATTACTCACTGTGCAGTTCCTATTTGCGCAGTTAAAACAGTTAAAAAATCAAACTTTGTTAGAGAGAAGATTTCGATCGCCTGAGGGTGCTAAAATCGAGGAAATTAAGGAAGAAAGTAAGATTTTTGGAAAGAGAATTTTGATTCTGATTTGTTTGTAGTGACAGCTTTACAGGTAACAGAAAGAGAAAGGCAAAGGGCAGAGAGAGGAGAGAGAAAAGAGGGAAAGTGGAAACCGTCTGTCTGCTAAGAATGAGAATTTTCAGTATTGAGAAAGACCGTTTTGACTAGGGCCGGTTACGAGAACATGCACGTGCTGCCTGGCCTGCGTTGTGCTGATCGGGTGGGTATTCGGGTTATACACGTGCTGACCCATAAGTTTATTAATCTCTTTGTTTTGTCATGGGTTCCCTTCAGTTGTCTTCCCGAGACAAATGAACGAATCACTAGCCCAAGTACTAAAATGGTTAGCCAGCGACTTCCACTTGTAAGCTGTAACCATAAACCATCCGAAGGAAAAACGCGTTTTCGGAACAAAGCAAACTTTTTTTTCTTTTTTTAAATGCTAAATGAAGAGAGTTTTCATCAACTTTTAATTAATTTTTACTGGTTGATTTGGAATTCCAACAATCTAAAGTTTACATTAAATTGATTTTTAATTGAATCGACTAGATTATTGATTTGGTCAAAATTCGAATACTTATCTTACCTAATTGAATTAAAAATATAAAATTCGACTAAATTTTTTTATTGTTACTAAAAAAAAATGTAAACTTTAACCTACATATCAATCCAGCAAACGAAAATAGACAAAAAGAAAGGATTAAAAAAGGTTTTTGCTTTTTACATTATTGTATTTTTTAAAAAGTTTTTTTTTAATTTTTTTAATTTTTTTTGTTACAATAGCATCCATGTACGTAACGTTTTCATCATCATTATACCCTTTCATCGCTTGATTTTATTAACTTCATTCAAATCGACGTGTCACGAAATGTAATTTCTCTAGTAATTGCTTAAGCTTCTCAATAACCGAAAAATTACGAAAGGAATTATCCATTACATGACTTGGAGCTAGTAGCTATAATGTTTGCATTAAAAGTGTGAAGACATTACTTGTACGGAGCTTGGTGTAAAATTTACACCGATCATAAGAGTCTTAAATATATTTTCATGCAAAAGGAGTTAAACATAAGGCAAAGAAAATGGATTAAAGTGCTAGAGGATTACAATATTGGTTTCCATCATCATTCGAGGAAAGTGAGTGTTGTTACGGATGCATCGAGTCAAAAGACATAGGCTACGTTACAAGCGTAAATCGTCAATGATTGAGAGAAACTATAGCTAGGAATTTTTCGAGAAGGGCTAGTAGTAATATGTTGTGTTTGATTGTTCGAGGGTCAAATTTAAGGTAAAAAATCAAGGAAAAGTAATTGCAAGATTCGGACTTGACTAAAATTTGACTGAAAGTGACAACGAAGGCGAAGTCAAATTTTGTCATGAACGACAATGAAGTTCTATGCTATTGTAGTAAATTATGTGTCCTACTTAAAATTGAATTATGTCAAGACATTTTATGAAAAGCTCATACTATGTTGTATACCATGCATCTTAGTAGTACGAAGATGTATTAGGACTTAAAAAAGTTCTATTAGTGGAAGGGTATGCAAAGGGACGTTACCAAATTCGTGGTTAAGTGATTGACATGCCAACAAGTCATGGTCGAGTACAAAAAACCCTCTAGTTTGCTAAGGCCGCTAGACATAACTAAATGGAAATGGGAACACATCACCATGGAATTTATATTTTCGTTGTCAAATTCAAAAAAAAAAAAAAAGATGGATGGCATTTGGGTAATCATGGATTGATTGATAAAATCGAGTCACTTCCTTGCAGTGAAGTTGACGTACATGATGCAATAGTATGCCGAATTATATCCAAAGGAAGTTTTAATTTTGTATGGCATTTTGGTGTTGATAGTGTCAAACCAAGACCCACGATTTATATTGAATTTTTAGAAAAGCTTGCATCGAGCCATGTGGATGAATTTAAATTTTAGCACAACATTCCATCCGTAAACAGATAGGCAACCGAGAGAGTAAATTAGGTTCGTCGAAGACATGTTATGGGCTTGTGTGTTTGATTGGCCCATAAGGTAAGAAAGGTACTCGTCGTTGGTCAAATTCTTGTACAACAATAGTTATCAAGCTAGAATGTCGATCGCCGATACATTAGGAGGATGTTGGCAAGAGAAAATGCTTGGAGTCAAGGTGGTGCAACAAACTACCGAGGTCGTAAATCAAGTCGAATACGAATGAAAACGGCTCAAGATTTGTAAAAAATTTCTATTGATAAAAGGAGGAAAAACTTAGAATTTTAGCTTAGTGGATAATGTGTTTCTAAAGATCACTCTAATTAAAGGAGTTATGTGATTTGAGAAGAGAGAGTAGTTAAATTCACGATACATAGTGGCCATTTGAAGTTTTGGAAAGAATCGCTTATATAGTTTATCGATTGGCTTTGACTCCATCTCTTGCCATGGTGCATAATGTTTTCAATGTCTCTATATTACAAAAGTACATCAATGATCTAAGCCACATCTTAAGAATCGAGCCATTGGAATTGAAATCCAGTTTGAGTTATGAAAAGGCTTGTCCAAATTTTAGGCCAAGAGGTCAAGTAATTAAGAAGCAAGTATATTCCCTAGCTAAGGTTTTGTGGATGAATCACAATGTAAAATAAGATACGTGAAAAAAAAGCTAAAATGAGGGCTAAGTATCCTAAATTATTTGAGTAAGTCAATTTCAAAGATGTAATTTTATAAAAAAAGGGGAGGATTTAGCGATCGAGACCTTTGAATATGGCATGTGTGTGTGTGTGTGTGTGTGTAAGAGAGAGAGAGAGAGATAGATAGATTTACTTGATGTTCTATACCTATAATTGCATTGCCAAAAATAGTTATGTCATGACATGCCGCTTAAGTCGATGAAAACTACCAAGTCATGACTTGTGATTTTCGTTGATGATTTTCTTATCTTATTATATACTTCATTGCCAAATGTTATGTCTTGTTTACCCTCAATATTATGTGTATTGCTTGTCTATATCTTGTGGAAGTCCTAAAGCGATTCATGCTTAATCAAGAGGCTTGATTGAATTAATTGAACAAGTGAGAAATCACTTATTTTACCTTGAGTTAGTAAAAAAATACATGTCACAACCTAAACTTGCATGGATCAGCTTGGCTAGGGAGGTGACTTTATACGTGGCTTAAGCACTAAAAATAAGTAAAAGTTTGCATTGGCTAAGGTTTTGGCCATTTTGTTCTCGCAAAGGAAAAATATATAGTAAAGAGAGAGCTTGAGAGGGAGCTAGCCAAGAGGGAGGAAGCTTTAGGCAATTGGCCAAGAGCTAGGATAAAGGGCAAGGTGAAGTTTATGTGGGTTCTCAAAATTTTTTCCTTTATCTCTCGCTTGTCTATGTAAGTATAATCTCAACTATATCATAAGACCTAGTATTTATAAGTTCCATTGACGAGAGATTATGAACATCCTTATTGACTTGTTGTGTTTTAGGTGAATTCTTATCGAATTGATGGACAATTGCTTGATACTTTGCTTTGAATGAATAGCTCTTAATTTTGATAAGCATGATGGGGCATGTTGTTTGGCTATCTTATGTGAATTATTGCTGAATTGATGGATAAATCTTTAGTGCGTAAATTTTCATTGCTTGTATGAATTTCCTATAGAATTGATGGATAAATGCTTGATGCCAAAATCTTCGTAACTTCTATGAATTCTTACCGAATTGATCAATAAATACTTGGTGCTTAAATTTTCATAACATTTATTGAATTCTTACCAAATTGATGGATAAGTGTTTAGTGCTTAAATTTTCATAGCTTATGTGAATTCTTGTCGAATTGATAGACAATTGCTTGGTGCCTAAATTTATGTAGTATTATGGGATGAATTCATGATGAATTGACATTGAAAATCTTGAGTTCATGACATAGCATTGACATTAGATTTCATGAACTCATGTTTTAAACAAGTAAATATATCAAGTGCATATTCATAGAGAGGGCACCCACGAGAATGATTTGGTGTGTACCTAAGGTAGGCACTCGATTAGACCATGTCCGGTTTGTGGTATGTTTATAGAGAAGCCATCCACGAAAATGATTTGGTGTATAACTAGCGTTGGCACTCTGGCTAAACTATGTCTAGTTTATGATGTTTTCGTCAAGGTTTTAAAAGAGGGCCGAATCGGATATTCGATAGGGCATGTCTAAAAGATAGAAAAAGATTTTCTTCATGAAAATATGTTTAAACAAACTCATACATGATTACACTTATCGAGCCTTAGCTCACGGCTTGTGTCTTATGGTGCGGATAATCGTAACGAGGCCTAGAGCATGCTCGTCATGTCGAAGGTATTGCTTGGATGCATTTTGAGTTTTTCAAAAAGTGTAATATAGACTTAGGTTTTAAGCTCATAGTCTAGATATTATCCATGTAATGTGCATTGCCTAATTTTTGTTTGTAAGAGCATGTCTAAATAGCCTTTTTTTAGTTATGACAATGTATGAACTAGTTGATATTTTATGAAATGAAGCTTTATTTTGTAAAATTTGTGTGAGCCTAATTTATGTTGAATGTTTTATGTTAAAACATCCTCTTTCGTTGATGAAATATTTTTACATCATGACAAAAAAATCTATGTTGGCTTTTAATAAGTTGAAACAAGGTTGCCATATGTTTAATTCTATGCCTCCACGCTCGTAAATATAAAAGATTTTTCTTCTATGCATTTCATGTACCATACAAGTCCCATGTCATAAGGCGTCATCGTGCATTCGATGAGCATAGGATATGGTCGTAACGTGCTTAGCCTCTCGTTGGTCGAGCATGTCGTAGTCACATCCAAGCATTCTACGAATGTTTGACACTATCGTAACACTTATGTCCTCCA